CATTAAAATTTACTTTTAATTCAATTCAGGGTTTCTTGAAATTCTACCCAAAACTTTCAGGCTTCACATGAAATCAAAATTCCTCAGAACTAGGGAAGAGCGCTACTTCGTCATAATAGCCCATTTCCGTTCTATCGAGAAGAAGTCATCAATAATATCAATGATTTCACCATGCACAACACAATAATACGTTTGTTCCGATCCGTTAGTTCATAAGCCACAACATGAAGCATATTACAGCGCATTGTATGAATATTTACACTCATTGTGTGTGTATGTGTGTATTCAATCTAACCCCCACTGGCCGGCAGTGGTATTATGGAAGAAATTTGCTTACAACAATCCTTGATGTAATAGCAAGCAAGTCCGGGAGTTAGAAAGCGATAGCTCTACTGCAGATTCAGCAACCCATTTCAGAATGCCTGGTAATTCACGTCCATTCCGAGGTTACTTTCACATACAATAAGCCCCGCATGTAAACACTACCGTTATCATATGAATAATGGTACTGCAAACACACTTCCAGATTTCGAAATGTGATGTTTCGAAATCTGGCGCGTATTTAGTAATATATGGAAACATGCATTTATGATTGATTATAAATCAAATGGATCTCACCAAATTCTGCCTCCGAAATAGGACCGGTTTGTTCACTCGCGGTAATCGAAAAAAATCTTCCGCGTTGTTTTTACAACCCAACATGACATTTTGAATCGCATTCGAAGTTTTTCAATTGCACCGAATTTTTGCTTGACACCTCATTCGCGTGCATTCTCCGGAAGGCAGAACGCCAGCACCAAGAAAAGAAAAAAAATACCCGGTAAAACTCTTCTTGGGAGGGAGGCAAAGTACCAAAAACAAGCTAAATGAAAAACCGACCGACGCGACACCACAGCAACACAGCTACTCGAAACAAATTCTTGTCCCAGATTTTTCACGTTAATTACAATATCACTAAAAAAAACTTCTTAAGACGTGATAGATCTTAATTTACACTTATCCACACGCGAAAACTAATATTTGTTTGATTTGGATCAATGAAAAAATATGCGAAAAACAGATGAAAACAATGCCAGCAAAAACAAAACCAACCGTTCGCGGACAGAGCCTACTGCGTTTTTTCTGTATGAATATTTACACTCATTGTTCTCAAAACAAAAGAAGCGCTCCTAGCGAATCCACTTTTTGTACCATCATCCGTAGGACGAAGAAAATCTAATGGCGTTTCAATGCGTTGGGACGGAATTGAAACTCGTAGGACGAATTTAGATTCAAGAAACAGTGTTAGATTTTTAATAATATCTCAACATTGTTTGACTCTTCATCAAATCCAACGGTACGTATGGAAAGGTGAATAAATTTAGAAGTTATCTTTGTTGAAAACATTTCATGTTTTGTTCAAACCCTTTCAAAAAAGAGAGGTAAATTGCGGTATGTGCTTAGTAGGACGGAAATTAGATCAAAAGCCCTACCTTGAAAGAAGATAGCATTTCCAGAACAACATGTGAAAAGGGCATACAAGCTTTTTGTAAACAAACCTTCTTATGCCCTTTTCTCGCCACCCATATGACACCAACGCAAACCTTTAACATCACCGGGTAGGGGACATTTTCCCCTTCCCGATGATATTGCTGGTTTGCGTGGGCGACCCTCGGTTGGTGAGAAAAGGGCCTACAAAGGTTTGTTTACAAAAAGCTTGTATGCCCTTTTCACATGTTGTTCTGGATTTGATGTTTTTTTGAAAGATTTTTTTCCAGAACTCCCTTGGAATGAGGTTCTTAGAAATAATAATAAAATTCCACGAGCCTTTAAAACTGTGCATGGAATTTGACTCCAGATTCTTAAAACTTCTTGAGGTATTATAGCTTTTGTGTGCTACTTTTCTTCTCTTATGTCACTTTTTAGTCACTATTTTAACAACTTTAAGTCACTATTTGGTCACTTATTTCTTTAACAGTGACCATGTGACTATTTTTGTCAGCAGTGATCACTACCAGCCCTGCCTATTCTAGAGGACATGGTTGGCAAATGTCATTTTCAATGAAAGATCTCACGCGAAATTTACAGAGATACTTCTGTCACTATCATTGGATGAGAAAACGATGATAGAGATTTTCTTCAAAATCTCATCGAATTTTTTGTCATGACAGAACGTGACAGTGTTGTGATCATCGTAATTACTAGCTCATTTAATACTATTGAAGTTACTTGTACCGAGTAAATCTTAATAATATATTCACTCTACCGATTACATACCGTTTTTTGCTTAAATTCATCTAAATCAGCTAGAAATGTTGATGTCAAAACCGCATAAGAATTATTCTCATGAGTGCTTGATCATTGAAAATGACAAGAAAGCTAATGATAGGTAGTCTCGTCTCGTGATAGTGAGAGGACCTGTTTTCTCATCGTCACATGACGACCGTGATATTTACCAGCTCTGGTTGGCATGCATTCCGTATGTGATAGCATTGCAATGAGTTGATGAAATTTGTTGCGATAGGTCTGAATTTGCATGTAGACGATTTAGATCAAGAGCCTACATGGAACAAAAAAAATACCAATTATTGTGTTCCATTCACTTAGGTCGAAAGTTGCGTGCGGGAAGTTTTTTTTTTAAATAATGCGTTTATTTTTCCAGGCTCATTTGCTGTAGCTTTGCGGAGCCGATATTCATTGTTTAGATCACCAAACGTACGGGAAGTTAATTTTGAGTTAAAAGGCTTGAAGTAGTTATCATTCGCGCACATGTTGACATACTACTTACTACTACCCGAGTAGCACACTTCCGTTAAGAAAAGTTGCAGCAACTTGTTTATGACTGAAATAAGTCGTAAAGAAGTTTCTACAACCGATATGTGACAAGCGTGCTATTAGGGTACTCAATATTAACTCGTCGTCAACTTCAAACTACTCAATATTAAGTTGTGCATGACTTACTTAACGTTAACTTCCCACATCTAGGTGGTTTTGCTCTTCATTTTTTGACAACAAACCTGAGAGCGAAAGAAAAGCACTACTCGATGGTAAGTTTAAAGAATTCAATCGTTGTGTAGTTTTGGTTTTCCGTGTTGTACGTAGTAGCCTGGATATGTTCCCCTATCTCCAGAAGGACTTTATTTTTCTCTACAACTTTGTCTCAGACGTCATTTCGATCAGAAGTGACGTTTTCTTGCTACAATAGATTGAAAAATGGCATAGCCGCCATTTTGAAAATAAATTACAACATCCAAAATGGCCGAATTTGTGTAAAAATGTGAATGATTGCCCATAACACACAATTATGCAAAATTGTATGCAAAGTGGAGAAGTTGAGTCCTTTTCTATTTTCTATCTATATACCCTAATATATATGCGTGTTTAAGGGACTTGATTCATGAAAATCTGAAGGATTTTCCCGATTCATCCAGATAGATAGTCTACGTGGGTTATGAACAGCATCTCATCTCTTGAATTGATTAATACTTTTGTTTTAGCCAGTTTCAAACCGCTTCAAATAAGTAGTGGATCATTAAACCCACAGAGACAGGGTTCGTTTGAAAATGGAACAATTTAATGAGCCGTGGTAAGTTTGCCAAAGTAAAAAAATAGTGCCTTGTTCCTGATTAGCTGCTTTATTTCTCTAAATCAGAGCTTCTAATAAGGTGAAAGGAAACTAGTGGCAACTTGGTGGTTAGTTTCCACCAGAAATGGAATCGCTATGGTAATAGTGTCTCTGCAACCTTAAGTTGACCGTGTGAAGTGCGCGATGAGTTAATAATTGTTCACACCATTAACTTTTTCCGTAAAATCAACCTGGTAGCAAACCATTCCGGGCCACATAAATCATAAATCATATTCTCAAGCTCCTCACTATCCCACTGGTCGAGTATAGGCATTTTGCTCTCAGCTCAGGTGGTGTGCGAAGCGTGAACCATATTTTTCTGTACGCTGGATCTAAAAATAATACCTTTCGATAGATTAAATTAGATGGCAATAACTGCTATGGCTAATGATTATGCAATTTCGATCTAAAATATTGAACTATTTATTTAGATGCGAAAATGAGGAAAGTAAGAACGGGAGCATTTTCAGGTCGTGTGACGAAAATTCTCAATGCAAAACCGTTCGTGTTTAGCGTGGAGAGAATCGTAAACATTGGCTGTGCTATAAATAAAAGACGCATGTGTGACCGGCTGAGAGGAAAACGTGATTATTTTTTGTCGGTTATAGGGTACAACAGGGCTCAAGAGACTTCTTATGCTTACGTTAAGATTCTTAGGAAATATAAACTGCGAAAAATAATTGCAATGGATAATAAAGTATTTCAATCACTTGATCGATTCTCTCCTTAATTTTCTATTGGATCGCCACGACCGTGTTAAGATATTTTCGGACATTTCCGACGATTTCAGAAGCAACTATTTAGTATCTAGTACGACAAAGACGATAGAAAACTTTTTTGTAGCCGAGTTATTTACGAAAGAGAGAGAGTCGATGAAGAGAATCGATGATTGGTCTATTTGGAAAGTGAATTTGTGTTCCGTAGTAAAGTTTGAGTGGTAGGAAACGTCAATCAATCACCACTCGAACTGTTCTGTTTCGAAAAGATCTGGGTGCTGAAAAGTAGTACTTTTCGACACTGTTATTTTAGTTAGTAAAAAAGATCATTTTGTTATTCAAAACTGTGTTGTCGAAAAGTGCCAAAAAATCTTAAATGTAGATATTGACACATTTTCTTAAAATCTCTGGTAGAGAAAGTAGATATAGAAATCCCAATACTGCTCGACTTAGTGATTATTTAGCATGCAGGGTTTGTTTACACGCTACATTCAAACAGATTGAAATAATCCGCCGGAAAGCCGGTATTAATCAAAGTGTCTCCTTTCCCAACCGTTGCAGATGTTGTTGTGTTTTTTTTGCCGAAAAACAAAACATGACTCACACTGCTCGAAACGTTGTCGGTCTAGCCTAATTAGTATGACCTTTTTCCGTTCTCCGTTGATCTTCTTTCTCCGCAGATGCCAAGATGTCGCAACGAGGAAGGAGTACGTCCAACTGGTCGACTCGGTGCGCGATTCCGGCGGGGAGGTGAAAATCTTCTCGAGCATGCACGTGTCCGGGGAACGTAAGTGACCTATTGCAAAGCAAAGCAAGCAACAAGCGGTAATTCCACTATCTTTCAGAACTGGCACAGCTCACGGGTGTGGCGGCAATCCTTCGCTTCCCGATGCCGGAACTCGAGGACAGCGAAGACGAGCAAAGCGATTCCGACTCGGACTAGACCCGGCGATCGTTCCTTTTGAATCGGTTTCCGCGATAATGTTTAGTTGGGAAAAGCGTTTAGTTTGATCATTTATGATTATGTTTGTCATGATAATTTATGTTACATACCTAATAGTATGCCCTCAGGAGGAAGCTTAAGAACTGAAAGGTAGGTTTTTCGAGCTTCGAAAAAGAAAAACAAAACAGATATTGCTTGCTACTCATCTATAGAAACTATACGCAATCGAATCAAATGTCAGGTTGAGTTTTTGGTATAATTAATTGTACATATGCTATTGTATTTGTATTTTAGTGATCAAAACTATTAAAATATTAATAAATGATGTACCAGCATCTAAATGGTTGTTTCCTTCCGCTTTTTCAAGACTCCGCATCCATCATATAGCTTTAAATGAGACTGTGTGTGTTTGATTCTCGATTAAATTACTCTGTCCCTAGGCGCTTAATTCAAAAGTGACACAGCAAGAAGTGGTGTTAGTTTGTTGGTGAAAATGAACTATAGAGCTTTTTGACGTTTAATCGGCGCACACTAATGCAGCATTTAAATTGAAGGAGTGCGAGCAAGAGGGAAACAGATTAGTGTGAAAACAAACTATCCATTTATCCCTGTGTGCTAGATAGAGAAAGACTATTAAACGTCAAAAAGGTCTATGAGCCATTTGTATGGCAAATATTGATCACTTGCGCAGGAAATCAATTTGGCAAGGCATTTAGGACCAGGATCCTCACCCCATGCGACACTCCATTCAAAGAATTCCACGAAACTCGTTGTGCGTTACGGTGTAAGATCTACGAAATCGAACTTTGGCCCTAAGCTCTTCTTGTTGACGGGTATGAGCAACGTATCCTGAATTTCGTTATTAAAACGTCCGGTGCTTCCATAATACGGGAATTGCGTATTTATTTCATGATAAAATAGACCTATTCTGCCCGGCGTATGAGGTGAGGTGACACGCTTTCGGGTGAGGCGAATCTCCGTGCAAATCAAGAAACCTATTCTGCGCCGCGAGTAAGGTTAGGTGACTCTCCATTTGATTTGCACGGAGAGTCATCTCACTCGCGGTGATCAGTGATGGATCGCTCTTTTGGGACTTTTTCATTACTTTTTAATGTAGAATGCTTACGTTAAATCCAATTAAATTTTTAGGTAACCCATCTTAAAATAGATAGTTTAATGCTATTAATCTCTCTATCAAAATTCAAAATGTTCGCACCGTAGAGCCTCATACCCTGGACAGACTACCCAGACAACCAGAAGTCGTATAACAATGTACAGACAGTATCGTAAATTGCTACAGTTTAAGTCAAAATCGCATATTAGAATGGCATACCTCGCATTATGTTTAAGTTAAATCGTATAGAATGCAAATTTCCGACTTATATGCGATGACTCATTTTTCCGTCGTACTGTATCACAAATTTAATCGGATTACATCGTAAGACTTTTCAAAATGGATTTGTTATTACAGATCAAATCGCATATGATGTTAAATCAACTCGTTTAAAATTAAACGAAAATATGCACGTATATGGCCTCCACTTTTGTACGTATAAGCCATTTATTTGCATTCTATACGACTTGTTTGTTTGTATATATGTTTGTATATCACGAAAACAACTTTGAATATACGTGCATTCTGGTTGTCTGGGTATGGCTTATATCATGTAATATAGGCTGTCTTGAAATGAGCACTCATACATAGGATTTCCAGTGAAAACTAGATGTATGAGTGCTCATTTCAAGATAGCCTATATTACAGGGTGTGTGACGAATTTTTGCAGTAAATTTCAAATAGTAATTTCTCATGCTTGTGCATCATGATTTAGATATATTTGGCAGCACTGGATAGCTTATACTGTTAGGTGTAAGATTTAAACAAACAATGTTGAGTAAACGTAAAGATGTCGAAACAAGAGAGCAATCTGTCAGCCGTTGTCGCTTTGTTGCGCGCCGGAGTATGCATGAAGGAAATAATTCGGTCGGTAAATGTGTCTGAAAGAACAGTGTATAATATTAAAAAAGGCTTGGGAAAGTGATAAGACGGAGCACCTGCTCATACTGCTAATAAAGCACAGAAATGGCTTACGGAAAATATTTCGTAAATTTGGGAGGAAGAAATTTGGCCCCCAAGCAGTCCCGATATCAATCCGTTGGATTATTTTGTATAGGGCGTCGTCCAACGGGATACCAATAGAACCCCTCACACCACACTTAAGTCGCCAAAAGCTAAAATCAAGGCAGTGATGACATCTATGGATCGAAACATTTTAAAACGTGCATACTGCAGTTTCCGGAAGCGTCTAACTACAGTCGTCGTAAGGGAAGGCAATTTTTTTGAATAAATTTACTTACAACTTCCATATGTTGCGAAAGAAAATAAATCGCACAAAATTCATTGCTAGAATAACTAACTGGTGTATTTTTTCTCAAATATGCCATTTACTGCAAAAATTCGTCTCGCACCCTGTACATGATATAAGCCATAGTCTGTCCAGGGTATCACTCTGTGTTTTCACTGAAACCACACTCGATAGCGCTCTCAAGTGTACCTTAAGTGAAAACACAGAGTGTGGCTCTACGGTGCGGATATTTAGAATTTTGATAGGAAGATTAATAGTACAAAAGTATCTATTTTTAGATGGGTTAACTAAACATTCAATTTCGTTTAACGTAAGCATTCTCAGGGCTGGTAGTGGATATCTAATATAATAGTAGTGACTTTAGTGACTAAAATAATGAAAATATTGACCAAATAGTGACTTTAAAGCAATAAAAAAGTGACTAATAGTGACATTTATTGATCGAAGAAAAAATGGAATTTAGTTGACTGCGAGAAATTTTATAAACTCACAATCACAACCCATCCTGAACATTTTTCATGCTCCTTCAAAATAAAACAAATAATGGTTACCGATCCCATAAATTTGCCTCGAAAAATTATCATTTATTTATTATACATGAATCAGGAATTCAGGAAAACCGGGGAAAAGGCGCAAATTCGAAATCACCGGGAAAAAATCGGGAAAAGTCCGCGAATTTCGATGACAAACCGGGAAAAATAAGATTCTGGACCTTTAAACAATCGCAAGGCCCCTAGACCGGAACATATTTTCAGGATACAGTCACTTTAATGAACTAAATTTTATGAGATTTTGATGCAGATAACAGCAATGTTTTTCAGAGAAAAATACCAATAGATTTTTTAAAGGACTCTAAGAGAGATTTCACTAGAACTCCAAGTCATGTGTTATGGGACTTCAGACGTTCTGAGTAGAATATTTAGGTAGTTCTTTTGGAAAATTCATGACGATTGTGAAGCGGACTCAAGGTCCATTTCAAATGGATATTCGAAATAAGTTTTTAGAAGAATTGTGATGGAAATTCAAAGGAAATTATTAGAAAATTTAAAGATAATATCAAGCGAATTCTGAAGAGAGTTTCATGGATCTCACAATAAAAACCAAGGGAGTCGAATTTGGAGGGAACAACCCAAGTAACCAACAAGCCCGTTAATCGCCCTTTTTGGTATATACGGCTGCTATACGACTGATATAAAGTTCGGAAACACTATATTTACCTTATATCGCAAAAAGAGCGTAGTTAGCGGGCTTGATGGTTACTTGGGAATTCCAAAGGAATTCTGAAATGAGTTTTATGAGAATTCCTAGTTTAATTCCAAGAGCATCTCGAGAAGAATTTCAAGGGTATTCGGAGGAGAATTCCAAGCGAATTTTCAGAAGAATTTAGTGGAGAGCTCCAAGATAGTTATGAGCAAAATTGTGTGATAATTTTGAGGATAATTGCATGTAAATTATAAGGAATATTCAGACTAATTCTAAATAGAATGTTAAGAGTAAGTTTAAGTAAGTTTTTTCGAAGCGAATCTTAGGATGAATTCTTCGATTTTTTTTTTTTTTCTGAAATGCTGTATAGACATTTTCAACGGTCTCTCGGTGAGAATCTCAAATTAATTTAAGAGAAACTAGGGAATATACTACAATAGATCAAATAAATGGTCGCAGTGGTAATGTACCCAACAGGAAAAAAAGAGAAACTCTGAAAATAACTCTGTGATAGGAAATTATTCTAAAGGAAATTTGAGAACATTTCATAAAAATCCTGTAAAGAGTTTTGAGCAAACTTTTTTTCAATATAGTTAAAACATCGAAAAATCTTAATGACTTCTTGATAAGAAGCTAACGATTTTTTCAAAAAAATTGGGTATTTCCCTGTTGTGAAATATACATTTAAATTAAGCATATATACGATTGAGCCGAAGAGATCACTGAGCTAAATGGGTTTTAATTTAGTTATCAGAAATTTTCTTGGCTCAAATCAACCGGGAGAGTTACCAAAATTTTGGGAAAGCCCCGGGAAATTACAAATTGGGATTTGCTGGTCACCATGATTATGACAAATGCTAATTTGATTTTTGTTTTGTGTCACCCAAAATTTGAAAATTTAGCTCTTTTTAAAATTATTTTCCACTCTACGCTTTATCCTTAAAGTACACATTTTTTTATTATTGATTTATGAATTTATCATTAATGAGTTACTTACTCGTCCTATTTGAGTGATGTCGGACAAAAAATGAAAATATTATTTGCATCTTCCTTATGCCTTATTAGGTAATCAAATAATAATAACAAGGCAAATGTTGACAATTTTTAGACAATAAATTTTAAAGACCTCGGATATAGAAACTTCTGAAACACCTCAGATTTGTATGCTCTAGGAGCTAAACAACTTTTCTAGATAGCGGTCCAAGAAAAAATCTCATTATTCTGGAACGAGGAAAATTTTCTAAGATGGAGGGATCGTGAATACACACGGCAAATTAATCTGATTCATATTTGACTCAAGTTCACTTGAATTCGCAAAAACGTAAGTCACAGAAATGAGTAAATTTTTACTCAAAGATGCGTAATTTTCACTCATATATGAATAAATGGCATTCAAATATCAGTCATATTTGCTCATATTTGAATAAAAGTTTACTTTAATGCGAATTTAAGTGAACGGGACTTTTATATGAGTCAGATTTATTTGCTGTGTAAAACAGTTTGCATGTGTCTCGAACTTAACATCTGGAAATCGAAAAAAAAAATTGAAACATTCCGGGATATCAAAATCTCTAAGACAAACAAGTTAAGAAACTTGTGCGGCCCGGAATAATTTTCATATTTTGAATATAGGGAATGTAAGTTCACAGTCTTGAAAAATTTAAATTAGTAAATTTTCCTAGACCATTTTTTGAAATATCTTAGACTTGGAATCACGAAGTAAAGAAGTCAGGATGTTGGAATCAGATTTTTTTATCGAAACCTCAGAAAATTTG